TGGCCAGCTGCAGACCAGGGGGACGGGGGAGGGGGGGGGGCAAAGCAGAGCCAAGCCGCGGAGCGCGTGGGCAGCGGACAGCCCTGTCCGCTGCCCACGTGTTCCGCCGCTTTGCTTCCTCTCCCTGGTCTGCTGGAGACCAGGGAGAGGAACGGCCCCGTTCGTAACTGCGGATCTGACATAAGTCGGATCCGCGTAACTCGGGGACTGCCTGTACTCATGGCTTATTAATACAAATTAATCCAAATGCTACATAGGAAAAAGGTGAGCTGAAAGAGACTTGATTATTTCAAAGTGTGTATCAGATAAGTTACACACCATAAATACACAGGATTCATGTTAACATGCAAAGGGTACTGTGTCTGAAATTCCTCTACATTAATAAACTTATTTCGTTTAGTAATGCATTAACTAATCTCCTTGCCATAATAATTTCAGTGGGAGAGGTCAGATGGCAACTTAGTCATGTATCCATTAAGGTTTCAATAAAAAACACATGCTAAGCAAAGTGCTGTGCTGCTAATAAATCTCACTACTTTATTTATTATCGGCTACACTCTGAAAAAGGGTAATAAGTTCACTGACTGAAATAAACTAAAATATCTCTTTCCAGTTATAAAATGTAAACCAGCAACAACTGTTTTTGAAAATATTTGTTTGCCTGATGCAACAGTTTACCCACAGCTCTTCTCTAGCCTATAACACTGTAAGAGTGCAGATCCTCTATAGTAAAAGTAAATTATTATAGAAAAATATTGTATTATCAGAGGCACCAAGGAGGGGAGAAAGAGCCAGTGCTAGGGGGAGCTGTCTTAAAAGCCGGTAGAGCTACATTTAAAAGGTAGAGATGCAGCGCGGGACCCAGCGAAGCAGTCCCCACTCACACCGGGTGCTTGACTGCTGCGGCTCTGCCTTTTAAGTATAGTAAGAGATGCCTGACTCTTACTACATTTAAAAGGCAGAGGCACGGCGGGGTTAGCTAAATGTAGAGCTACATTTAAATTGCAGAGCTGCAGCGGGGGTAGTGAGCATCCCCCCAATTAACTAATTGAGTAGCACTACCCATGTACACTAGGGATGTTAGTCGCAATTTAACATCCCTAGTGCACATAGCTGGTGCTGGAGAAAGGCCAGGGATACTGGGAAGCTAAAGCATTCTTGGGATGGGATTATCCATTGTGTGCCTTTGGGGTGGTGCATCTGAGTAAGGGCTTTGGATGGATGGAAAATGTTGGATTTAAAAACAAGTTAGTCTCACTTCATTCATTTGGATATTGATGATGCAGCAACACATATCTGTTGAACAGACAAAAGCAATGAAATCTGTGTAAAAGCCTAATGCTCCCCCTTTAATGTATCTCTTTTGTGTAGTTATTGTATGTGCCTCAGGGGAGGAAGAGTTTTACTTGATCTATTTTCTTTTTTTTTTGGACCATACATTTGGCATATTTCAGACTTAAATGTGGAAGGTCATCTCCACATCTCCTTAAGGTAACTGTCAAGATAAAAAAAATCATACTTTAAAGATGTTATACTTCATAGCTAAAGTCCTGCCACTTGTTCCCCAAAGCCAATTTCCCTTCCTGCCTGCCAACAGCGTCTGAAAGCTTAAAAATGTTGGCAACATAATTTTAAGGTTATGTTTAAGGAGTTACAATAACAGCAAGTTTCAAGCTAATAAATCCCCCCCATTTCACTTAAACACTGGGTCAGGGATTGTGTCTCATCTATTTACACAATTCCTAGGTGTTGTACAAATGATTTTTTAAAACAGCCACCAAATTAATTTTTATGGAAATGCATAACAAATATTTGACTTTTTGGCTAAGACTTTATGGGTCAAATGTTCCTCATGCACTTCTAATATGCTAGTGAAACTCCACTGACTTCAGTGGATTTATTTTTGATTTACACATGTGTAAGAGGAGAGGCTGACCCTGCTGCTAGAATGTTCTTATTCACAACGGTGTTATGATATTCTACAAAACCCAGGATATTTAATGTTCTTACTTTGCTTTCATTATATGGCAATGTCACCCTGACTCTACTTCTTTAATGTATGGTCAAGAACAGGAAAATTCTGTGGTCAGGTCTAAGAAGTTTCATGGAGTTAGTTTTGGAGCACTTAGTTTAATGTTTCCCACTGAAATAACTAAAAATCAAGTTTGAGACCATCAGCAGAATAGTTAGCTAGCTTGACAATAAAGAAAAGTTTCATATGTTCTGTGTGTTCCCCAAGATGACAACATATCTTTTTAAAATACAAGAATTATCTTCCAGTCCTTTTAACCTAAAATGTTTCTAAATTGGACCTTGGTGATGATCTCACTGAAAACTTTAGAATACAGCTGGCTGATCTGGCTATCTGACTAACCCCGGTTTTTAATTTAGGGGGAGAGGAATACAAAGGGCCACTTCATGTAGACAGAATTGTGATTCTGGTGCCTAGCCAAATACTTCTGTGTTTGGAAGAAGAAAAAAAAGTGAGCCGAGAAAACCTCACTCTTTCACTGAATTTAAAAATCCATCTGTTGAAATAAAAAATTAAGGGGATGTTTTAGACTGGGGCAAAGAAGGAAAAAAATACATTACAATCTAACTTTGGAATACAGTTGCATGTCTGTGCTTTTTCAGCTGTCATATGAATGGAAATATAGAGGAGTTTTTCAATCTAATAAAAGCTATAAATTTAAGAAGAGTGATCCTCTGAATTCTCTGTTATTTTCCTGTTATATGTCTCTAGACTCTTCTCTAAGGGAACCAATCTAACAATACTTGTAATAAATTAATTTTATTTTGAATGTACTTTAACTACTTTAAAATATAACTCTTTTAAATGAGTGCTGATGGTTTGATACAATTTTCTTGTATATGTAGTTAATGTATAAAGTGTGCATTGGCTCATTGTCTCAGATACACAGTGGAAATAAAAAATGCTTACCATCACCTGTGGAGTTTGCTTCAATGATCAACGTAAACTAGAAAAGAAAATAATGTTTTTTAATTTATAAATTTATAATTTATAGTTACAAACACAGAAAGCATCTCTAGTGAACCCTAGTATCTACAGACAAGAGTCAACAGATGGGGGTTTTTAAGTGATCAGAGAATACCTGAAACCTCTTGTGAACCCTAGTATCTACAGACACCCCTGCAACCTAGAATGCTGGAAGAGATAAATAAACTTTGTCTTATCCTCCTTTTTGTCCTCCACACAATAGTAGCTTCCTCTACTTCTAGGTATCTTCAAAATTAATGACCTTGAATGAGAACCACTTGGTTTTATCTCTCAGCAGCATCTCCAGAAGGAATCCTATAAAACTGTTATTTTAAGCATTTTGAAAACCTATTTTATTTCATTCTGGTAGTAAGATTTTTGTTTATTTTAAATTCTATGTTGTAATTGTATAGTGATTTCTTCTCCTACTTTATACTTCCTTGATTGCAACACTGCTTCATGTAAAGCAGGGGTGGCAAACCAGTTAGAGATGAAGAGTCAAAATAGCTGTGGATAGAGTGTGAAGAGCCACGTATTATATATTTATTTTTTTAGATAGACAGACAGATAGATAGATGGAGTACACAAAATATAGTGATAAAAATAACATTACAGGACATTTTGGACAAAAAACAATAAAAGAGTCTCTAGTCACTTAAAAATTTCACAGCCAGTCCATAGATCTTCAGAGAACTTGACGAGGAGCAAACATTCAAATTAAAAAAAAAAACCTTTAAAAATACAGTAATATTCTCACACTAAAAAAAAAGCATCCCAACCAAGTATTTTAAATGTAACAGTACTGCCCTATTATTACGTGAGAGTTTTTTAAAATTAAACCAAACTGAGAAGTAAATTAGCACAATTTGAAGTGCCTGTTTCACTCCAGCTTGTTGAGCTCTGGTATGGTTTCCTCATATTTTTTTTACTTATGAAGATTATGGCTTTTTAACAATTCTAAACATTCAAGTCTGTCCCAGACTGCAAATATGAGAGGTTCAAAAACAATAAGGGAGAGACTCAGATCTCAGAATAATTGCTGCAGCCTGGCAAACAATAGCCTTTGAATTTTCTTTAAAGAAACAAGTGTAAATCAGGTACATGCTGATTCTTTTTTTTTGCCCTGGAATTTAAATATGACATCCGTGTTGGCTGCCTTATTCTGTATCCATGAAGACTGAGTTTAAAGTACTTCTGTTCCCCTCCTTCCCCTCGCCTGGGTCCCAGAGTTGCGGCCACCATGCGCTTCTCTCTCGAGGCACTGGGGTGCATGCGCAGAGCGGCTGGCCTTGAGCAGTTCAGGTGCATGGCTCAGAACTAGCAAGAGCCTCATTTCTTTATGTTCCCCTCCTTCCCCTCGCCTGGGTCCCAGAGTTGCGGCCACCATGCGCTTCTCCCTCGAGGCACTGGGGTGCATGCGCAGAGCGGCTGGCCTTGAGCAGTTCAGGTGCATGGCTCAGAACTAGCAAGAGCCTCATTTCTTTAAGCAAAGAGCCACATGTGGGTTGGCCACTCCTGGGCTGTGTCTAGACTGGCAAGTTTTCCGCAAAAGCAGAAAAGTTTTCTGCTTTTGCGGAAAAACTTACCAGCTGTTTACACTGGCCGCTTGAATTTCCGCAAGAACACTGACTTCCTACTGTCTGAAATCAGTGCTTCTTGCGGAAATACAATGCTGCTCCCGTTCGGGCAAAAGTCCTTTTGTGCAAAACTTTTGCACAAAAGGGCCAGTGTAGACAGCTCAGATTTGTTTTGCGCAAAAAAGCCCCGATTGCGAAAATGGCGATCGGGGCTTTTTTGTGGAAAACCACATCTAGATTGGCACGGATGCTTTTCCGCAAAAAGTGCTTTTGCGGAAAAGTGTCTGTGCCAATCTAGATGCTCTTTTCCGCAAATGCTTTTAACGGAAAACTTTTCCGTTAAAAGCATTTGTGGAAAATCATGCCAGTCAAGACGTAGCCCTGATGTAAAGGAAGCACAGACAAATTCAGGTGGTGACCAAGTAGCTGAATGGATAGAAGAGGGGAGGTTAAGTACAGAAGTGGAAGCTGGAAAGGACCAGATTGTATAAAGATCTGCAATTACAAGCTGCTGTTTAAAATTACTATTGCATAGGACATGTTTTGCATTTCTAACCTTCAAAGTTATTTACCAGCATAAACCACTTAAGGGTATTTTGAAAAATGCCTTGACTACTTGGCAGCTATTTTATTATACCTAGATTTTAAAGAGCAACCACTCATCCTACATAGTGTCATCACCTACAAACTCTCATTTGAAGGGACATCAGAGGGGAGTGATACCAAGATTAACATCCCATTTTTTATAAATGTCTGTGAACCAAAGAATCTGCTAACTGACATTCCCAAACTATTCCAAGTAGGGGTCAAATACTACTTTTAGTTACTTGCTGTAAAACAGGAGTAACTCCACTGTTTTCATTGAGGTTATCCCAGATTACACCAGTATAAATGAGTAGAATTCTTCCCACTGGGGCTGCCCAAGGAATCAGCTGGAGCAGCATTTGGCCTCCTATTTATGACTTTATTGATCAAACTGCCTCTTAAAGACAGCAGTGCTGAGAGAAAGGAGATGCAGTCCCTCCTGACATCACCAAAGAAATGCAAATCATGAAGCTACCAAAAGGCAGTACAAAGGCATAATTGTCACCCTTTGTATTGGTGGAGACAGATCCCAAATATGCAAACCCTTACGCACCAACACTTCTACAAACAGTCCTTGCATACATGAGTAGTCCCAATGGACCCACTCATATAGGTAAACATTAGCAGAATCAGGTTCAAAACTGTCAAAGAGACTGAATTGTCTTCCTTCTCATCTGCCAAGAGAAGCAGAGGGAAAAATGAGCTCAGGCCACTAAAGAAACATTGTAGTGATTTGCAGCATTAGTAGCCTACAGATATATAAAAGACCCTAGTGCTGCCCCTTTCTGTTCATCTCAAACAGTTTCCCATGAGTGTGTGTCTGTGTGTGTGCGCAAGTGCGTCTGGGTATTGTCAAGGTCACTGGAATAATACAGTTTCCCATGCTATCCTCTTTTTAAAAGTTGTATTTCTCTCTCATAGGGTGGATGTGTGCATATGTGTACGTACATCTGGGTACTGTCAAGGTCACTGGAATAAATGTAAAGGTCTCTTTCTCACATTTAAAATGTAAACTCTATTGTGGCTGCCTCTCTCATTTCCGCCTGTAGTTTAGAAAAATTACATACATCAGAAGTCAATGTCTGCCTATGACTTTTGCATACCAAAACATTCTCTGAACTGGCTTAAACAAACAAAAATCAGGTTCAAAGTCTAACATACACAAACTTTGTTTTTAATACCGTAAGTGATAAAAATACACACCATATTCAAAAGCACAAAGAGCTTTCTGAGGGGTAAAAATCTCCCAATAAATCCATTAAAATATATCAGTTTCCTGAACATGAAATAATCACACATCTTAGCAAACATAAAAATTTAATTTTCGCAAGTTATTAATGAACTATTATAGAAATAAACACCTACTACAGGAAAGTCCGGATCCTGGGACCTACCATAATTAGGGATGAAAAATCCCATTTAGTCAGTTAACCAGTTAAATGTTACATCAGTTGACTGGCTAAACATTACATTTAACTGTTTAACTGCTTACACAGGGGTTGGCGGGGAGCTGCTCCAGCCTAGCTGGGCTGCCAGTTAACTGGTAACCATCACCCAGTAACCATGATGTTTACTGGTTAACCACTGACATCCCTAACTACAATACAAACCATAAAGAAATAATTAGTAATAAAAAAAGCAAAATGACTCTTCAAAAGTAAATTCAATTGGTTATCAACACACACACAAGAAGCAGAAAATAAATGAATTCATTCTGGCTCTGTTTTTTTCAATACCTAACAATTAAAATATGGAGGTTGTGTCACAATCTGAAAGTAATCTATTGCCACTGGGAACATCACTTAACTTTTGAATGAAGAAAATTGCTAAAAAGCAGGAACCACCACTGTAAAATTACCAAGGAAATGTATTAACCCAGGCAAAAAACATCTACTTTCCTGCACTACCATAAGGATGATGAAAACATTTACTTGCTCAAACAAAAATTACTATCCCAGGCAATTGGTTGGGAAGAATTTTGCAATGCTGGCATTAAAGGTAAGGACCCAATCGTTCAAACATTTACACGTGCTAATTTTACTATGGTGAATAGTCCAATCACAGGGATTATTCATGGTAGTACAATTAAGGCCAGGCCAATCTTGCCAAATGATCTTTGCGGGCAAACCTTGGTCCCAACATGAAGTGTCACTGAATGTGGCTCACTGAAAGTATTGGGGGATGTTGGCACAGACCATCTGGCAGAATTGGGGCCAAAAGTAAAAGATGTGAAGGCTGCAGGCAGCTACAATAAAATGCTTGGTCAAAGAATTCTTTGATCCCTTTCTGTTTTTTAAAATGTTCTGTTGCTTGGAGGGTTTTGGCATAGAAATTTCCCAATCCACCCCTTTCAACAGCTACATAATTATCAGTTTGTACTGCCACAGTGTCTAAGAGTCCCAGTCATGGATAAGGACCCTATTATGCTAGGCAGGGTACACAGGACAAACAGTCCATTGCTGATACATTGTATTATCTCTTTTTCTAACCTTTCAAATAATAAAATAATTCTCCATTTATATCAAATACTGATATATTGCAATTAATCAAAACATGCCCATTTACTTGTAAACATGAAGTGAGCAAGCAATAGAGACACTAAAGCTACAGGTTAAACCTCTAAAAACTGGGACTCAAAATGTGGTCCAGCAACATCCATGGCCCAGCACTGCTGGACCAGAGAACCCTGGCTTGCCAAATTCAGCAGTGCAGCCTGGACTGGGCTGGTGGTGGGGAGTACGGCCCCAGCAGGATGGTGTAGTGGGGAGCACAGCCCTGGTCAGGGCTGACGGCCAGGAGCGCAGCCCCAGACGGAGCTGGAGGTAGA